TATGTAAACAAAAACTTTTATTTTGGATGCGATTAATCGTGTGACAGCACTAGTAATTATATAAAATAAAACTACCATTAAAAACTTTGGTGTAAATATATTTGAAAGAAATCTGATGCTTACTAGGCAAAAATAAAGTAAAACAGTAATATAGTGAAATGCTAAAATACAGTAATTGTAAAATAAATAAATGTAGTTTTTTCTGTTTCTAAACCTGAATTTTCAGCAAATGGGATTTTTAAAAAGGGATTTTTTTTCTCCAGGATTCTTAAATAAATACGAAATTCAAAAGAACATTTATACAGCATTATAAATATCTTTAGTCACTTTTGATCAGTTTAATGCATCCTTGCTGAACATTAGTTTCTTAAAAGAAAAAGAAAAAATACTGACCGCAACTTTTGAACAGCAATGTAGTTGTATATGTAACAATAAAAAAAGCATTAGCAAATACCATAGACATAACATAATATAAAGTACAGCATAACACATTTTTACTATTCTGCCAATTCATATGAACTCATGGTCACACTTTATTTTAAAGATTATGTTTATATATTAAATATATTTATATATAATATAAATTATATGAATATAATGTATGTGTGTGTATTTACATATACATAATAAATATACACAGTACACACATATATTATGTAAACAAAAACTTTTATTTTGGATGCGATTAATCGTGTGACAGCACTAGTAATTATATAAAATAAAACTACCATTAAAAACTTTGGTGTAAATATATTTGAAAGAAATCTGATGCTTACTAGGCAAAAATAAAGTAAAACAGTAATATAGTGAAATGCTAAAATACAGTAATTGTAAAATAAATAAATGTAGTTTTTTTCTGTTTCTAAACCTGAATTTTCAGCAACTGGGATTTTTAAAAAGGGATTTTTTTTCTCCAGGATTCTTAAATGAATACGAAATTCAAAAGAACATTTATACAGCATTATAAATATCTTTAGTCACTTTTGATCAGTTTAATGCATCCTTGCTGAACATTAGTTTCTTAAAAGAAAAAGAAAAAATACTGACCGCAACTTTTGAACAGCAGTGTAGTTGTATATGTAACAATAAAAAAAGCATTAGCAAATACCATAGACATAACATAATATAAAGTACAGCATAACACATTCTTACTATTCTGCCAATTCATGTGAACTCATGGTCACACTTTATTTTGAAGGGGTCATATGACGTTGCTAAAAAGAACATTACTTTGTGTATTTGGTGTAATGCAATGTGTTTATGCGGTTTAAGGTTAAAAAAACACATTATTTTCCACATAATGTACATTATTGTTTCTCCTCTATGCCCCGCCTTTCTGAAACACGTCAATTTTTACAAAGCTCATCGGTCTGAAAAGCGATGTGAGCTCTGATTGGTCAGGTATCCAGTGCATTGTGATTGGCCGAATACCTCAAGCGTGTGACAGAAATGTTACGCCCCTTACCCATACTGTGATGTCGTTTCCCGGCATGACGAGACAAAACCAGTAAAACCTCCTCATCAAATAATAATATAACTGTTCTGCTGTAAATACAACAACCACTGATGTCTAGTTGTGTCCTCTTTTGGAGGGCCAAACAAAGTAGTTTCGCTTTCATAATGAAACACACAGCGTCTCCACAACATGGCGGCGGGCGGCAGCAACATTACTACAGCGAAAATCAAAGTTACTCCTTCTTTCTTTGCGTGAACATTTGGGCGGCGTTATGCAAATCTTCCCACATCGTGATGTAGACATTAGGGGGCGTGTTAGAATGAGCCATTTTAGGTAGGCGTGGTTGACTCTTAACTTTTATAAAGAATATCTCTTTGGATTTGAGACTTTAGTCTTTGCAACTTCACAGATCTTCTTTATGCACCAAGAGCTTGTAATACTCCAAAGAGAAAGGACTAATTGAAATCGCATCATATGACCGCTTTAAGGTCCAATTCTCGCTATTAACAAACCATTAACTACGACTTTTGCCTCAATAACCTTCTAATTTGATACTTATTAATAGTGAGTAAGGTAGTTGTTAAGTTTAGGTATTGGGTAGGATTAGGGATGTAGAATATGGTCATGCAGAATAGGTGCTTTATAAGTACTAATAAACAGCCAAAATATTAATAATAGGCATGCTAATAAGCAACTAGTTAATAGTGAGAATTGGTCTCTAGACTAAAGTGTTACCAAATTCTTAGTATTTTGCATTAGATTAGACTAAATACTGATCTTTTACGGCCACTTTTTATCTATTTAATCAATTTCTTGTCTTACAGCATCCCTGAATTATCTTCATTTGACGGTCTTTTGCAAAAATTGACAGAGTAGATGCAAGAATTGTGACGAATGTGATTAATCAGCATATCATGTAGTTTTATTCAATTGAAAATGTTAAGGGCATTTTAGGTGAATGACTGAGTGATTAAGAACACAAGGATTAGGTCTGGATTACTGAAAGCACCTGTGGTTAGTGACTTTAAAAACCTCCCATGAACCCGAGCAGAGCATGAGAAGAGTGATCCAATTCTTCACAGATTTAGGTTAAATAATACTTTTCAGCCTCAGACTGTGATAGAGTGGGAGTCAGACAGGAAAGAGAGAGAAAAGTTGGAAATGAGGGAACTCTCAGTGGAACGCTAGCCGAGGAACAGAAGTGGTGTTATGTAAATAGGCCCTTCTGTGCTCAAGAATGCACATATTTTTATTCAATGAGAACACTGAAACACATCCGGGCATATTCTGTCTCCAAAAAAAAAAAAAAAACTGTAGACAACATCCTTCTCATTCACTTGGCTTTTATTCACATTTCAAATATGCTAACGCTAGCAAGATCTTTACATTCCACTGTGTGCCTTGGAAAAACCAGACTTCTATCTGAGCGTTCAGACAGAATAATAATAATATTAATAATAATAATAAAAGCAGCAACCCAGTTTAAAATAGAAAGCAATATGTGATGAGTGTATGATAGTGTTTGATATCTATGTGCTCGCTCGCACATCCTCAGTTCACCTGATAAATAAAATTAAAAGATAGCCAAACATCTTGATAAAATCATCATCATCAACTGAAATCTCACACTGACAATAAAATCAGATAGAAAAGTGACTGAAGCCCACAGAGAACAAAAAGAAGTGAAATCCATATATGATCGTTGGTCGTTTTCGTGTGTACGCGCATGAGTGTCCTCGGGAATACACATCCATCCCAGACAAAAAAAGGGAAAATGGTTGCTGTCAGTCATGTAACTGTCCCCTGGTGGTCCTGTGCGAAGGGAGATGGTCTTCACTGCAGAACACAAGATCCAGGGGGCGAGGTTGGATCCAGATCCAACTCCTCCCACCTTACATATACCTAAACCTACCCATCTCCACCCCTAAACCTATCATCTCCACCCCTTAGATGTGGATTCAACCCTGTCCCCTGGATCTTTGTTCTGCAGTGAGGGGCTACTGTGGGAAGGTACTGTACCTTCCAGGGCTTGTCTCTTCCTCTGAGGCTCCCGTGTGGTGGATTTTGACTCGGGAGGTGGCTAAACCCGACCTGCGGCCGCCTCAGTTTCCTGTGTCCAATGACTGTGCTCTGCAGGCTTCACATCCAGGGAAAGAGGAACGATTATTACTGTGGGCTTTCAAAGGCATCCCAAGGTTAATGTGCTTCCTGTCGAATTCTCCAGGGCGAGACGAGTTTAGGTATTGGGTAGGATTAGGGATGTAGAATATGGTCATGCAGAATAGGTGCTTTATAAGTACTAATAAACAGCCAAAATATTAATAATAGGCATGCTAATAAGCAACTAGTTAATAGTGAGAATTGGTCTCTAGACTAAAGTGTTACCAAATTCTTAGTATTTTGCATTAGATTAGACTAAATACTGATCTTTTACGGCCACTTTTTATCTATTTAAATGGTTGCTGTCAGTCATGTAACTGTCCCCTGGTGGTCCTGTGCGAAGGGAGATGGTCTTCACTGCAGAACACAAGATCCAGGGGGCGAGGTTGGATCCAGATCCAACTCCTCCCACCTTACATATACCTAAACCTACCCATCTCCACCCCTAAACCTATCATCTCCACCCCTTAGATGTGGATTCAACCCTGTCCCCTGGATCTTTGTTCTGCAGTGAGGGGCTACTGTGGGAAGGTACTGTACCTTCCAGGGCTTGTCTCTTCCTCTGAGGCTCCCGTGTGGTGGATTTTGACTCGGGAGGTGGCTAAACCCGACCTGCGGCCGCCTCAGTTTCCTGTGTCCAATGACTGTGCTCTGCAGGCTTCACATCCAGGGAAAGAGGAACGATTATTACTGTGGGCTTTCAAAGGCATCCCAAGGTTAATGTGCTTCCTGTCGAATTCTCCAGGGCGAGACGTACACCTGGAGGCGCTGCAGGTCTGTTGAGCTGCCGCCGCTCTAGCCCTGCGTCACACTGTCCCCCGAGCTTCTTCCAAAGCCATCAATAATTTAAACAACTCATAAAGAGGGAAATAAAAATGGAAAAACAAACAAACAAAAAAAAACTAACTTAAGGTTCCACCAGTGAGCCACAATGTAAACATTTTCCCTCTGCGGCCTGATGGTGGCGCTATAGTAGCGCCTCAGGCTTTCTCTCTGTGTCCTTGTGTGCGTCTCTACGTGAGGGCCCACGCTCTCACTGGTACTGGAGGTAATTCTTCAGAGACTGGGGCAAAGGCAATGTTTCGATCTCCTGTAGACGCTCTCGTCCCAGAGCCAGCCGCGCTGCACGTCGACACAGGTCCATCAGAGGGAGAGGCTCCGCTGGAGAGAGACAAAAGCATCTGTTAGAACTGGATTCAAAAAGGGAAAATTCTAATGCACAGATTGAAGGCAACATAATTGTCTGTTGAGACCAAAACAACGTTGAAGTGCAAGTCTTTTAAGTGATAGTTCATTCAAATTATGAAAATTCTGTCATCATTAATCCCCCTCATTTTGTTCCAAGCTTCAAAAAAAAAAAGCACCATAAAAGTATCAATATAATACAATACAAATTGTGAGAGATGTTCATGCGAGAACTGCTTTGGGTCAATGAGTTAAATTTGAGACGCAAATAAGTCCAATTCATGAACAAATTATTTAGACTGATTCCTTGAAGCAGTTCAGTTGATTCATTTCACAAGATCTCCAAAAAAAAAAAAAAGATGGTTACATACAGTAGCTTATGTATATGCGTATATCATGAACAAATCATTCTTTTAAATTGGATATTTTCAACGAATCACTTGATCTGGTTCATGGAATTTTTTTTTCCTTCACAAATTGGATCAATTTCACAAACAAATTGTTCAGACCGATTCTGTAACCCAGATCAGTTGATTAATTGAAAAGATAAATTTAAAACTAAAAAATATGATTATTTTACAAATTGGACCAATTCATGAACAAATTATTCAGACCAATTCTGTGAAGCAAATTGACTGATTTACTGAAACAAATCAGTCAATTCATGAACAAAAATCAAATGAAATTAAATCAATTCCATGAGCAAAACATTTTGACCAATTCCATGAACCAGATAATCTGATTCACTGAAAAGTTTAGACTCAAAAGAATGATTTATTCATGATTTGACTAAGTCAAAATGGCTGAAAAACTAAATTAGAATTTTGTACTTAAATATTATCAATATTCGAATTATATTCAAATTTAAAAGGTATAATTTCAGTTAGGGGGAAAAAAAGCTTTTGGCTTCTCTCCTGAGGCCACAAGAGGGAGCATCGAACAAAATATTATATAAGTTTCTTCAAAGCATAATAAAATAGCACGACTATCTTTGAAAAAACTGCATAATATTTAAAATAATGATTATAAACCTTATATAATTAAAGTTGCTTAAACAATTAGAAACAAAACAGAATCATGCATGTAAGTATAGATTAATATAAAGGACCGAAAACCATACACCTGGAGGCGCTGCAGGTCTGTTGAGCTGCCGCCGCTCTAGCCCTGCGTCACACTGTCCCCCGAGCTTCTTCCAAAGCCATCAATAATTTAAACAACTCATAAAGAGGGAAATAAAAATGGAAAAACAAACAAACAAAAAAAAACTAACTTAAGGTTCCACCAGTGAGCCACAATGTAAACATTTTCCCTCTGCGGCCTGATGGTGGCGCTATAGTAGCGCCTCAGGCTTTCTCTCTGTGTCCTTGTGTGCGTCTCTACGTGAGGGCCCACGCTCTCACTGGTACTGGAGGTAATTCTTCAGAGACTGGGGCAAAGGCAATGTTTCGATCTCCTGTAGACGCTCTCGTCCCAGAGCCAGCCGCGCTGCACGTCGACACAGGTCCATCAGAGGGAGAGGCTCCGCTGGAGAGAGACAAAAGCATCTGTTAGAACTGGATTCAAAAAGGGAAAATTCTAATGCACAGATTGAAGGCAACATAATTGTCTGTTGAGACCAAAACAACGTTGAAGTGCAAGTCTTTTAAGTGATAGTTCATTCAAATTATGAAAATTCTGTCATCATTAATCCCCCTCATTTTGTTCCAAGCTTCAAAAAAAAAAAGCACCATAAAAGTATCAATATAATACAATACAAATTGTGAGAGATGTTCATGCGAGAACTGCTTTGGGTCAATGAGTTAAATTTGAGACGCAAATAAGTCCAATTCATGAACAAATTATTTAGACTGATTCCTTGAAGCAGTTCAGTTGATTCATTTCACAAGATCTCCAAAAAAAAAAAAAAGATGGTTACATACAGTAGCTTATGTATATGCGTATATCATGAACAAATCATTCTTTTAAATTGGATATTTTCAACGAATCACTTGATCTGGTTCATGGAATTTTTTTTTCCTTCACAAATTGGATCAATTTCACAAACAAATTGTTCAGACCGATTCTGTAACCCAGATCAGTTGATTAATTGAAAAGATAAATTTAAAACTAAAAAATATGATTATTTTACAAATTGGACCAATTCATGAACAAATTATTCAGACCAATTCTGTGAAGCAAATTGACTGATTTACTGAAACAAATCAGTCAATTCATGAACAAAAATCAAATGAAATTAAATCAATTCCATGAGCAAAACATTTTGACCAATTCCATGAACCAGATAATCTGATTCACTGAAAAGTTTAGACTCAAAATAATGATTTATTCATGATTTGACTAAGTCAAAATGGCTGAAAAACTAAATTAGAATTTTGTACTTAAATATTATCAATATTCGAATTATATTCAAATTTAAAAGGTATAATTTCAGTTAGGGGGAAAAAAAGCTTTTGGCTTCTCTCCTGAGGCCACAAGAGGGAGCATCGAACAAAATATTATATAAGTTTCTTCAAAGCATAATAAAATAGCACGACTATCTTTGAAAAAACTGCATAATATTTAAAATAATGATTATAAACCTTATATAATTAAAGTTGCTTAAACAATTAGAAACAAAACAGAATCATGCATGTAAGTATAGATTAATATAAAGGACCGAAAACCAATCACAAAGAGTACTTTCTTCATTTAAAAACTTGAGATGCTGTAGGATGGGGAAAAAATGCCATGAAGTCTTGAGACATGTTTTTAAAAAGTTGAACTTGCATTAATTTTCCATGGCTTTCTAAACATGCCTCTTGTGTGAGACGCGAGTGCAATGGTGATAGATGTCCCTCTAGAAAATGTGATAAATATGCGTTCTGTGTGAACGTTTTGATTTCGTTTTTGACGTAATCAACATCATCTCCGCATTGATGTTCTTTTTCCCCGCAATATTTTGAATGAACAACATAGCAGCGAAGGTCTCCAAGGCCATCTAGTGGGTTGAACTGGATAGACTAACAAAAACATTAAAATGCAATGATACTTACATCGTCGTCGCATTTCGTGCGCCACTGATAAGGCAGCCTGATGCACACCTAAAATTCGAATGCAACGTTTTTGCATTCGAATGTGGATTTTTATTTTAAATTTGACGAATATTCGAAATTTGAAATTTTTTGGACAACCCTAAATTGGACCAATTTCTGAAGAAATCATTCAGAATGATTTCATGAACCAGATAAACTGATTAATTGAACAGATTCGACTCAAAAGAATGATTCACAAATTGAACTCCCTTATTTTTCCCATACCAGATACAAATTTCACTCCATTTCACTTCATAACTTAGATGTAGAATTTCTCACATGGTACTGTTTGCCTTCAGAACAGTTATAGTCATGTGGACTACTTTTATGTTAATGTTTATATTAATTTTGCATCTGTTTTGAAAGTTTAGAGCCTTTGTAAACAGAAAAAAAGACCAGTGCAATTCTTTAAAATGTATCCTTTTGTGTTTCACAGAAAAATGACAGTCATACAGGTTTGGAACAGCATGAAGATGTGACTGGATTTTCATTTTACGGTAAGCTGTTCCTTTAAAAGCACCATGTGATTCAGTGTGTGTGTGTTTGGGCATCTTGTTCCTCTACATAAGCTGACAGAGTAGTTCAATAATAGATGGATCTTGCCACTGGAGCTCGGTATCCATCAACAGAGCCGCTGCCTCACAGAGGAGTCTGCCGCCACTCATCTGCTTTGAGTCAGCCGCTGCTCCAGCCAAGATTTCATACCGACAAACATAAAAACAACCACGGCTCCATCTCAACAAGATGCCACATCTCCTCTGTTGACCATCAGGTCTTTATCAGGACCTGGGCTGATATGACTAATCAGATCACAAGGATGGCTGCAAGAGTCAGAGCCCGTTCCCTCCTGCCGGCCAATCAGAGTAAGAGATTGTGACAGGCTAATGGTTAGTAGTAAGTATATGTGTGGCTAACAATCAAAAGAGGAATAGTTATACAGCTGCACTGGCACAATGCAAGCACCCACATTGAATATTTATAGCTGTGATGGAGTCCCACACAGAACATGTCGTGAGTTGTCTTCCTCCATCCTGGCAGCTGAACTGAAGGCATAAGCATTGTAATGCCCTCACATAATGCACATTTTCACCACAACAAGAAGTTAAAATGAAACAATGGATCCCTATGGAGCCCTTCACACAGAATGAAATGATTTAATGGCACAAAGTAATGGTTTTTCAAGCTTAAGTTGTTGTTTGTCAAATCGAAATTTTGTGTTGCACTCGGTGAGCGTGAATACTTTTAATGCACATTTCTGTGCCTCCAGCGCCACCAAACAGAATTGCAAAAATGTTTTCAGCTTTCCCACAAAAATCCTCATCAACACTGCCAACATCTACCACTTACTTAAAGTAAATATTTAAATGCAGCACTGTTAGCAAATCTCCAAATAAATGCTTACATTCACTTTTCTATTCAGTATTTGTTGTTGTTGCATAATGATTGATACACTGTATATTGATAATAATAACAATCATAATCAATATTAGTATTATTGTTATAACTATTACCATTACATTTTTATATTATTAAATATACAATAAATCTTATTGTCTATATTTTATCTACAATAAAATTCCAAAATAATGAGGTATAATCCAGTAGCTAATGAATGATCTAATTAAATCAAAGCAGACTGAACATATTACTTTCTGATAGCAGTAAAACACCCACTTCCTTCTAAATATATTTAGAGTCACATCACCAGTAAGTCCGGCACGTCTCATAAAGAGGCAGATGGCATGTGTAGATGCTGGGATCCAGCTGTACCCAGTGGGCGGGTGCGGGATATGAGAGAGAGAGAGAGAGAGAGAGAGAGAGAGAGAGAGAGAGAGAGAGAGAGAGGGGAGAGAGAGAGGGGGAGAAGAGGGAGGAGAGAGAGAGAGAGAGAAAGAGAGAGAGAGAGAGAGGGTCCCATCACAGTGGAGTCAGCTGTCTTAACCTTGGCTTGTGTACTGCAAACACATACCAGCTTCATCACTGTGTTTGGGGGGGGCGGGAGATGGGAGAGAGAGAGAGAGAGAGAGAGAGAGAGAGAGAGAGAGAGAGAGAGAGAGAGAGGCGACTGACAGTCAGGGTCAGAAGTGACAGATGGATCAAAGCACGGACATAGTGCTCTACTGCAGTAAAACTGAATAATTTTTCAATTCCAGCCCCCCGTATGCTCAAGGTTTGTCTGAAGACTGTAATCACGTCAGTGAAATACACAAAACACAACACACAACACACACGGTGACCTGTCACTCGCTGTGTTCCTCAGACTGCTCCCCGTCGCTACTCAATCACATTAAAGCACTGCCTACAAGCCATATACGGCAACAAATCATACTGATGTGAGTTATACACCATAAATGCGATTACATGGCTCGGATATGTCAATGTAATTCCATTGTGTGTGTTATCAGACTCTCGGAACAACCTAATAAAATGGCTGATAAAACAGACAACAGCAGTTGATGATGGGAGATTTTGATTTTCTTCCCACACAGCAGCAGTCAGATTGATCTCCACATGACACACACACACACACATTCATAAATCTATATAACAACAATATATGGTTAAACTGTACTTCTAAAAACAATAAAATGATAAATGAGTTAGGAAAAAGCAAAAAGGTCTGACAGCACTAGTGAGTATTTCAAGTGCAAATTCACTCTCTACATATTTCTAAAGTAAAGAATTGTTAATTACAAATCATTTTGCATAATTTGAGTAAAAAGTTGAAAAGGAAAAACTGATAGGATTACAGACTGCATGCCAGATGAACAAAAGTTACTTGAGAAAAAACACCGAGGAAAAACACAAAAAGTGATTTAAAGTCACCCAGGAAGTCAAGCAGATAGTCGCTAACAGAACCTTTTTTTTTTTTTTTTTAGTTTTTACATGAAGGTCACGTGAAAGATGGGAAAGCCTATGGAAAGTTTTTAGCATGCTTTTATAATTGTTACTTCTCACATGTTTGTATTTATACTTGTTACAGACCCACACTTTTAATCTTCAAATATATACATTTCCATCATAAAAAAAAGTTTAAAATAAAAATAAAAATATATAGTTAAAAAATAAAAGTTTTTAAAATAAATAAAGTTATTATTAAATAATTTGTGTACCTATTTAATAAATAAAGTTTTTTGTGTGTATTTAAGATTTTTTTAAACTAAGGGTAATGCAATACAATTAGCCTTAAAAAAAGACTTGACCTTTTATTAAAACTATTATAATATCTTTAATATAAAAAATAAATAAAAATAATTTCCACTACAGAATGAATGATGCCATTTCCCTTTTATCATGACAGTTCAGGGAGGGGGGAAAACAAGTGATTTAATATATGATACATTCATATTAACTGTTGACATTGTTAGCAGACAAATTGAATAAATTGCTGAGAGTGTGAAAAGTGTTTTAAGAAGTTTAACTTCTAAAAGTAACGGACCAAAGGTGCCCATA